TTCGCCGACAATGATGGTGATGCGCAGGTGAATTTTTTTTCCCAAAAATTAAATCATATAAATCTAAAAAGGCACATGGCGTCACGACAGACATCGCATCTGTACGTATTTGTCGTAATAGACAACGTCTTCTTTGATCCCAATTAAGTAATTATGACGATTTCAGGTCTTCAATCAGGTCAAAACTCGTTCGTCAGATGAACATGACAACATGCTGACAATCCTCACTGAAGTAGGGATGGCTTTATCTCTCACTGGAGTGGTACTCACAGATATCAGCTATCTTCAGCTCACGTAAGTATATTAAATGAAACTGATATCTAACTGAAGGCATGAACTCTCGGGGATTATCTCTGTTTTATAGGTTATCAGGTTTGTTCTAGGGCTCAGAAAAGACCTCTCGAAACTAGAAAAAAGATTGTAATTTCAAAGATAATCTTTCTTTGGAAATCTTTCGCCAACGAGTTCAAATAGCTTCAAATAAATTGCTAGTGAAAGATAAAAACTGTCAGTAATATTCTTGTATCCATTCGCTATTTACTAACTAATTGATGTAAATAATATGTTGTATCAGCTTATTTATCCCCTCATTCTCTTGATTATTTTCTAATGCATTTCTGATGCTTTCCTTCGCAATTCATTGACCTAAGTTTTGTATTTGCCTTGCTACTTAATCAATTTCATTAGTAGCTGTTTAATGGCTTGCTTGTTGTTATTTATTCAGTGCCCTTGTAGAGACAGACATTCACCATTGTGTCGCATATGGGTTAGTCTGACTTCCTGCATTGGAGCTGGACATATCATCTTTTTTGCTGGAATAGATGCCACGGAAAACAAGGTGACTTATTAAACTTACTTTCGTATTGGTTTATTTTGTTGGTTTTTGCTTGTTTCTTTGTTTTAATTTGGTTCAGCCTCTTATTATTTTGACTGATTGATTTAAAGACTGACTGATTGATCAAGTGATTCTCTTTTCTTGTCTGTTTGTTTGTTTGGCCGATTTCTATTTTGTAGGTTTCATTCGTTCGTCCTGTTTTGCTTGGTTTTTTTGTTTTGTTTTCGGATCATCATCTCGACAAACGGCAAATCAATTGTTTCATTTTTACGGATTACCTATTTCTTGCAGGCTGCATGTGTAGCTGTGGCAGCTCTTCTGCAGTATTTCCTTATGGCTTCCTTTTGTTGGATGCTTGTCGACGGCATTTATATCTACTTATTTGTTGTAAAGGTGTACAGCATCACCGATAAAATCTATTATTATCATGGCTTTTGCTGGGGTAAGAAGCACTACCAATAAAAAATGGGATAGGACTTATGGAATGTACTTGACAGAATATTTTAATTCGGATTGGGTAAATACCAAGGCAGAAATAGGTTTCAGAGAAATTAAATGGTCAAAGAGTGATAATTTTGAAAATTCACATTTTGAAGTAATAACATCATGGCGTCGGTTTATTCAAATTACTAACTAATAAAGGCTTTCTATATTGTATGCTTTGCTTCAAGACTTCCTGCAATCATAGTTGCTGCATCTATGAGTATTGCTGCAGGAAAAGATGGAATAGAAACTTTTGTCACTGATAAAAAAGTAACTTTGAAGTTTGACTCTTTTCTTATTCAACTGTTTATAAAAATGGCGAGAGCCTGGAAGTATGAACCGAAAAAAAGTAAAGGTTGGGGTGGAGGGGGGGGGAGGAGGTCAAAGACGAAAACAAGAGGTTAGCGCTCTGTTTTCACCTTCCCTCTACCCGCCTCCTAACATTGTTAAACCATTATCAAGGACTGAGGGAAGACAAGAAGAGATACTAAATTTTGCGAAACTATATATCAGCAGGGCCCCCCGCTTTCTAACTTGGCCTGACATATATCATAAAATTGCAATTCCCAATTGTTTGGGTTATCTGAGGTAAATTCTTCCGCAAAAAGCAAAAAAATGGTCAATGGATTTGATGATAATGAGCCATAACGGAAAGTTGACAAATTTAGTGATGATAAATCAACAGCAATAACTGCATATTTCCCAAACCAGTTCGAAAGAACGCATCTGACTTTTTAAACTGTTGTGAAACAAAGAAAATTTGAATTCAATAATACACAAGACGCAACTAATTAGACGGGAAGTCTAAAATGCAAAATGATTTTGCATGAGGTCTATGCTTGAATTCCGAGCGCTCCCAAACTTCCGTCGAGTTTGATCACAATGGAAATGGCGAGGACGAGAACGATAAGGACGAACCAGCTTTCTCTTTGGCACCTGGTCCACTTAACTCTCTAATTTTCTAGTAGGGTGGTAAATGGTAAAGAGGTGGGGAAGGGGCATGCACTTAGCAATTTTTTCTAGGGTACAATGAGATTAAATTTTCAAGTCTATCTTTGTTTAGATAGATTGCGCTACCTTATCATGATGGCCACCATAATGACACGTGGTATCGCGTAGTAACTATTACGTTCTGGCAGATTTGAATAATATTTCCATCATCGGCTATGAAGTGTTGTAGTCTTGTAAAGTTTTCATTGTATCTTTATTTGAAGTGTACCACAAATTTCTTTCTTACTATCAATATCAGTTGCACCAAGATTGATTCAAACGGAAACTGACTAATTACAGATTAAATGACTCATCGGGATATATTTTAAACCGGTCTTCTCTGACAATTTGATTCTAAGAAATTATGCTACTTGATCATATGACCTAAATCCGTGGTTAAGCATAAATAAATTTGCGATAGAGCTCTTAAGCTACAGCTTAAGCAAGATAAGTGAAAGTGGTTATAAATGCATACAGTATTTTCCCAATTCAAGGGGAAGATATAAGTTCAAAGTCTACTCTCGATCCTCCTGAGAAATCCCAGCGTTAGCGTGACTCTGACGGGTCTGAGAGTTCTTTGTGTTGTCAGCTTGCCTATGGTTCAATGCACTTGGGAGGACTCTTTGGAATTTTCGTTTGAAACGCTCTTTTATCTAGAAAGGAAGTATAAGGAAATTAGAGGTACTCATCTTTTGTTACCAGTTCTTCTGGATGTATATCACTAAGAATCAGTATTCATATATACCTCACTGTTTCTCAAGCAGTGGAAAAAGAAAATGGAGAGTCCCTTAAAAAAAGAAAGCATTAGAGAATTAACCTTATCAGTTTATAAACAAACAAATAAACATATAAATGCACAGATAAAAGAATTTAAACGGCATTGTCGTTTTTATCGAATGGTAGCAACCAAAAGCATTAATTTTTTTTTTGTCATGAATATAGGGTTGTGTCCTAATAACTCAGCCAGAAATCTTCTATTCTTTCTTTCCATCTTCGATCGTTCACTCGCGTAAGGGTTATTTTTCAGAATACATCTTTATCCGTCAGATGTAATAGATTAATGGTGACCCCATTATTATTGTCAAGCAGAGCTAAGGCTTTGAAGATAAATATAAAAGTGCGAAAGGACGTCTGAGATAATTTTCTCGGTATGGAAGGGTAGGTCTGGTGCCTGAAAGTGAGTCTGAGTCATCCTCAGATATGGAGACACTTTTAAGTGTTTCTGACTCTTGTCGTTTTAGAATTGCGCCCTAATCTAATCCAGTGAACATCAAACTGCTTTAAAGCTTAATAGCACTTTACCTGAGTAGAGTTAAGGATTACAAAAATGTAGGAGAAGGAGATGTGTAGTGGCAAAAGAAAGCCAATGAGCCACGTGACACCCAACAACGGAGCCAAAACGACGCATGCACGAATGCCTAGCCTGCAAGAGACCAAATGAATGCTCAATCTTTCTCTAGCGGAAACCAGGGAAGACTATATATACCTGGAAAATAATGCCGGGGGGGACTCAAGAAGCAGTTTGAAGGTTGTTAGTTATCTATATATGTTGTTATATACATCGTACTCACTGCAAACGAATTCAAGACCCGCTAGAACAACCACACCTCATCGTTTCGACACACAAAGCACCGCAACTCTACCGAACTCAGTAAACACATCTGGACACTTAAAGACAACAACATCGGCTATTCCGACTTGAAACAGGCTTGTAGGGATGAAC